GGAAGGAAGGAAGGAAGGAAGGAAGGAAGGAAGGAAGGAAGGAAAAAAAGAATAACAGAGTTGGAAGGGACCTTGGAGGTCATCTAGTCCAACCCCCTGCTCAGGCAGGAAACCCTAGACCATTTCGGACAAATGGCTGTCCAGTCTCTTCTTAAAAACTTCCAGTGTTGGAAAAGGGAGGGAGGGAGGAAGGAAGGAAGGAAGGAAGGAAAAAAAAGAATAACAGAATTGGAAGGGACCTTGGAGGTCATCTAGTCCAACCCCCTGCTCAGGCAGGAACCCTACACCATTTCAGACAAATGCCTGTCCAGTCTCTTCTTAAAAACTTCCAGTGTTGGCGCATTCACAGCTTCTGGAGGCAGGTGGTTCCACTGGTTAATTGTTCTCACTGTCAGGAAGTTTCTCCTTAGTTCTAGGTTGTTTCTCTCCTTGATGAGTTTCCATCTGTTGCTTCTCGTCCTGCCTTCAGGAGCTTTGGAGAATAGCTTGACTCCCTCTTCTTTGGGGCAGCCCCTGAGATACTGGAACGCTGCTGTCCTGTCCCCCCTCGTCCTTCTCTTTGTTAAACTAGACAGACCCAATTCCAGCAACCTTTCCTTATATGTTTTAGCCTCCAGTCCCCTGATCCTCTTTGTTGCTCTTCTCTGTACTCTTTCCAGAGTCTCAGCATCTTTTTTACATCGTGGTGACCAAAACTGGATGCAGGATTCCAAGTGTGGTCTTACCAAGGCCTTGTAAAGTGGTATTAACACTTCACCTGATCTTGATTCTTGGACTAGAAGACCTCCAAGGTCCCTTCCATCTGTGTTATTCTGTAATGCTACAATCCCAGATCAATTAACCAGTGGAACAACCTGCCTCTAGAAGTTGTGGGTGCCCCAACACTGGACGTTTCAAAGAAGAGACCGGACAGCCACTTGTCTGAAATGGCATAAGGTCTCCTGCCTGAGCAGGGGGTTGGACTAGAAGACCTCCAAGGCCCCTCCCAGCTCTGCTCTTCTGTTATTCTATAATCCCAGGTCCATTAACCAGTGGAACAGCCTGCCTCTAGAACTGGTGGGTGCTCCAACACCGGAGGTTTTTAAAAAGAGATTGGAGAGTCACTTGTCTGAAATGGTATAAGCAGGAGGGGGGTGGACTAGAAGATCTCCAGGGTCCCTTCCAGCTCTGTTATTCTGTTATTTCTGAACACGCTTCGCTTTCTAAAGAAGCTTCCTGGATGAGAAACGGAACATTTTTCAAGAAAAAGCCCCCAAAAGTCGAGTTGAAAAGGTCCTTTGGGACGTGGAAAACTGAGGATTTCCGGATCTTGGCTTCTGGCAGAACCAGGAAACTAAGGTTTTGTGGCAGACTTTAGCCCAGAGTCTGACCGGTTATATTGACTTATTTATACGTCGTATTTCTTCACCGCCCGTCTCCCTTGGAGAGGGCCGAAGGGAGCAGCTGCTGGACTGTTCCTAACGGCTGCTCTTCTCCCGGTCTCTTGCAGGGTTCCAAGAAGGATTAAAAATCACTCTGGACTGTGCCCAGGCGACCTTCATCTCCTACGACAAGATGGTGATCTCGCTGAAGGGAGGGGAGATGTAAGGCTTGGGTTGCTCCTCCTGCAGGCAGAGGTCCTGGCCCGGCCAGGGGGTGTTTCCTGGCAGACGTTTCATTGCCTGACTAGGTAACAGCATCAGTGCTACTAGGGCTCCTGATGATGATGATGTTGCCTATTTGAGCAATGAAATGTACGAGAAATCAGCTCAGATAGCACTAAAGACCCCACAATTCTTTTTTTTTTTTCTTTCTTTCTTTCTTTCTTTCTTTCTTTCTTTCTTTCTGTCTTTCTGTCTTTCTCGTTCTTTCTCTTTGTCTTTCTGGTTCTTTCTCTCTTTCTGGTTCTTTCTTTCCTTCTTTTTTTCTTTCTGGTTCTTTCTTTCTGGTTCTCTTTCTTTCTTACTTTGTGTTTCTTTTTTCTTTCCTTTCTCTTTTTTTCATCTTTCTTTCGTCTCTGTCTGTTTTTCTGTCTTTCTTTCTGTCTTTCTCTCTCTCTTTCTGTCTTTCTGGTTCTTTCTCTCTTTTTCTTTCTTTCTTTCTTTCTGGTTCTTTCCTTCTCTCTCTCTCTCTTTCTTTCTGGTTCTCTTTCTTTTTTTCTTTTTTTCTTTCTTTGTCTTTCTTTCTTTCTGGTTCTTTCTCTCTTTTTCTTTCTTTCTGGTTCTTTCCTTCTTTCTTTCTGGTTCTCTTTCTTTCTTTCTTTCTTTCTTTCTTTCTTTCTTTCTTTGTCTTTCTTTCTTTCTTTCTTTCTTTGTCTTTCTTTCTTTCTTTCTTTCTTTCTTTCTTTCTTTCTTTCTTTCTTTCTTCTAGCATTGGTCATATTACTTAATTGGGTAATGAAATGTCTGCAAGAAAACAAGCCCTTTCAGAGAGCACCAGGGACCCCACAGCCCCCCTGCTCCTCCCCCTTTCTGGAAACCTCCCTCCCTTCTAGCACTGCGCCTTTTTCGCCGAGCCCTGAAGGCCCATCTATTCCGTGCGGCCGGCCTGGCGTAGTTTGGATTGTGTTTCAGTGGGGGGGGTTTGTATGGGTGTGTTTTTAGAACAGGCCTATTATTCAATTCGATTTTAAAACAGAAACTATTTATTTATTCATGGTTTTTAGTATTGCCTGTTCACCGCCCTGAGTCCCGCAAGGGAGATAGGGCGGTATATAAATTTAATTAATAATAATAATAATAATGTTACCTAGTTGGGTCGTGAAACGTCTGCAAGCGAAACTACCAGGTTCAGAGAGCGCCAAGGACCCCACCGTCCTCCTTTCCTCCTCCCCTCCTCAAACCCTACTCCCATCTAGCAACCATGATGTTACCTAGTTGGGTCATGAAACGTCTGCAAGAAAACCACCCAGCTCAGGGACTACCAAGACACCCCCAGCCCCCCATAACTGAATCTCCTGCTCCTCAGACAGCGCCAGTCCGCGTTGTATTTCTGCTCACCACGCTCTGTCCTTGTGGTGTGTGAGTTTGTGCTGGAGCAGAGACTGTGTCCAGACCGCCTTCTGCTCATGGACCCGCGGCTCCCATCATCCACTTCCGTTTCTCTCCCCAGCTACGTGCTGACCCTCATCACGGACGGCATGCGAAGTGTCCGCTCCTTCCATTTTGACAAGGCGGCCGCCAGTGTCCTCACCACCTGCGTAAGTGCCCTCCGGCCCAGCTGTGGCCATCTGGGCTGGGAGGGGGATCGATCGATCAATTGATCGACTGGATTGGATTGGATTGATGAGCCACGGAATAAGCAGCTGTGGCATCTGAGCCCTTTCATCCTCCTGGGGCTGGTGCCTGATGGTCAGTTAGATCTTTCTCTTTCTTTCTTTCTTTCTTTCTTTCTTTCTTTCTTTCTTTCTTTCTTTCTTTCTTTCTTTCTTTCTTTCTTTTTTCCTTTTTCTCTTCCTTCCTTTCTTTCTTTCTTCATTTCTTTCTGTTTTTTCTTCCCTCTTTCCTTCCTTCTTTCCTTTTCTCCTTTTTTCTTTTTCCTTTTTCTCTTTTTCCTTTTTCTCTTCCTTTCTTCCTTTCTCTCTCTCTTTTTTCTCTTCCTTTTTTCTTTCTCTTTTTCCTTTTTCTCTTCTTTTTTCCTTTTTCTCTTCCTTCCTTTCTCTTTCTCTCTTTTTTCTCTTTTTTCTTTCTCTTTTTTCTCTTCCCTTTCTCTTCCTTTCTTTCTGTTTTTCCTTCCTTCTTCCTTCCTTTCTCTCTCCTTTCTCCTTTTTTCTTTCTCTTTTTCCTTTTTCTCTTTTTTCATTTTTCATTCCTTCCTTTCTTTTTTTCTTTCTTTCTTCCTTCCTTCCTTTCTTTCTTTCTTTTCCTTTTCCAACTTGTTTCACAGTCCATCCCCAGGTGACTCTAGATGGCTAACAGACATTGAATGAAATGCAACATAAAACAATAAATAAAGACCTTAATTTAAAAATTCAAAATAAACCTAAGCAGGATGGGGTGGGAGGGACAACAGAACAGAATAGAATAGAACAGAATAGTAGGAAGGGATCTTGGAGGTCATCTAGTCCAACCCCCTGCTCAGGCAGGAAACCCTAGAGCATTCCAGACAAATGGCTGTCCAGTCTCTTCTTAAAAACTTCCAGTGTTGGAGCATTCACCACTTCTGGAGGCAGGTGGTTCCACTGGTTAATTGTTCTCACTGTCAGGAAGTTTCTCCTTAGTTCCAGGTTGCTTCTCTCCTTGATCAGTTTCCACCCGTTGCTTCTTGTCCTGCCTTCAGGGGCTTTGGAAAATAGCCTGACTCCCTCTTCTTTGGGGCAGCCCCTGAGATACTGGAACACTGCTATCATGTCCCCCCTGGTCCTTCTCGTCATTAAACCAGACATCCCCAATTGAATGAAATGTGAATGACAAAAAATTAGAATCTTGTTTTAAAATTTACTTTAAAGAATTAAACCGAACGGTTCAATTGTCTCCCAGCGAACTGGCCGTGGCGGGTCGGCTGCAACGGGCTTGCCCCCTTCTGCCTCCGGTAGCCTGGACCCCCGCCGGCCCTCTCTCCGTTCTAGCCTGGTCTCTCTTTTGTCTTTCCCCCTTTGGGTCTCAGATGATTACCTTGGAGCCCGGTTACCTGTTCCTGGGCTCTCGCCTGGGCAACTCTCTTCTCCTGAAATACACGGAAAAGCTCCAGGAGGCCCCGATGAGCATCGCTAAGGACTCTGCCGAGAAGGTAAGGGGATCAGTTGGGGGGGGTCTCTCCACCCCCCTTCGCACCCAGAGCTGAGCCCTACCTTTAAAGCCGCCCCTCTTCAGCAAAACACAGGGAGTCCTCGGCTTACGAGCCCAATTCAGCCCCGTTGCCAAGCGAGACACTGGTCAGGTGAGGTTTTTTCCTCCGTTTTATGACCTACCTTGCCCCAGTTGTTAAGTGGAGCGCTGCAGTTGTTAAATTAGTAACCTGGTTGTTCAGTGGATCTGCAACCGTCATAAGTACATGCCAGTTGCCAAGCGTTTGGACTTTGATATCACGTGAGCCCGGGAACGCTTAAGTGTGAAAACTGGTCGTAAGTCACTAAGTGAACCGTCGTAAGTTGAGGATTCCCTGTACGCGCAGTTCCTCCCTTGCCCCACTTCCTTAGCCACAGGCGCCGGCTGGGGAATTCTGGGAGTTGAAGTCCACAGGCCTTAAAGTGGCCGAGGTTGGAGAGCTTTAGAGAGTCCGGGGGGGGGGGCTTTCCTGCAGAGACAGACGGGGGGCTTCTAAGCGCAGCAGCAGGAGGAGGGGGGGGATTGTGGGTCTCTTGCCTCTCCTTGCCAATGGACAGCTGTGTTTGGTTCCCAGGAGGAGCCCCCCCTGAAGAAGAAGCGCATGGAGCAGTCCGCCAACTGGGCCGGTGGGTGTCCTGATTCTCGCAGCAAAGGGGCCGAGAAAGCCCCCCAAGCTCTGTTGTAAGGTCTGGGGGGGGCACGTTGCAAATGAGCCACCGCACGCCGCATAAAGGCTTCAGTTTTCTAGTGGGGGGCAGCCTATCCTTCCCTTCCCTCCCCCCTCCCCTCCCATCTCTGCTGGGTCATCTGATTCATTTTGCTGACACACTTAGGTTGCACCTGGAGGGGAGGGGGTCCTTGATCAGCCCCCTCTGCGCCGGTATCTGAGAGATTGGTAAGGACTGTCTGCCCCCAGGCTCCCTAGATGGAAGGTTGGCTGCACTGCACATTTTGTCTGTCTGCCTGTCTATCATTATCTATATCAATTATTGCTTATCTATGTAATCTATCATCTATCTACCTATCTTTATCATTATCTATCTAGCATCTGTCTCTGTCTATCTGTCTATCATCGAGCTATTATCTATCTATCTATCTATCTATCTATCTATCTATCTATCTATCTATCTATCTATCTATCATCTGTCTATCTATCTGTATCTATGTATGTATCATCTGTCTGTCTGTCTGTCTGTCTGTCTGTCTGTCTGTCTGTCTGTCTGTCTGTCTGTCTGTCTGTCTATCTATCTATCTATCTATCTATCTATCTATCTATCTATCTATCATTATCTATATCAGGGGTAGGCAATCTGGGCCCTTTTATGACTCATGGACTTCAACTCCCAGAATTCCTGAGCCAGCATGGGGGAAACTATGGCCCCCTCATGACTCGTGGACTTCAACTCCCAGAATTCCTGAGCCAGCATGGCTCAGCTTGGAAACCTCTCCCGTTCCCCTCAGCGTGGCTGGCTCAGGAATTCCGGGAGTTGAAGTCCACCAGTCATAAAAGGTTGCCTATCCCTGATCTATATCATCTATCGCTTATAGATAGATGATAGATAGATAGATGATAATGATAAAGATGGGTGGATAGATGATAGATAGATGATATATTACATAGATAAGCGATAGATGATAGATAGATGATAGATAGATAGATAGATAGATAGATAGATAGATAGATAGATAGATAGATAGATAGATAGATAGATAATAGATGATAATGATAAAGATGGGTGGATAGATGATAGATAGATGATATATTACATAGATAAGCGATAGATGATAGATAGATGATAGATAGATAGATAGATAGATAGATAGATAGATAGATAGATGATAATGATAAAGATGGGTGGATAGATGATAGATAGATGATAGATTACATAGATATCTATATCATCTTATCAATCTATCATCTATCATTATCAATATCATCTAATTTATCTTTATCATCTATCATTGATCCACCTATCTTTATCATTATCTATCTATATCAGCTAGCTAGCTTCTCTCTCTCTCTCTCTCTCTCTCTTTCTCTCTCTCTCCCCACCATATGATCATGGGGATGCTACAACGGTTGTAAGTGTGAAAAACGGTCATGTCACTTTTTTCAGCACCGTTGTCACTTTGGACGGTCACTAAACAAACTGCTGTAAGATGAGGACTGCCTGGATTGCAGTTAAAATCTTAAAAACATTTGAAAACAGTAAAAACCACTAAGCCGCTAAAAAAACCCATTAGAACGGCCAATCCAGCCCCAGTTGGGTGGGAAGCAAGTAGAAGGGTGGAGGAGGAGGAAGTGCCTGGAGGGAGGAGGGGGGGCTTGAAGGAGCAACAGTGGGGTGAGGCTGTCCATCCGAGCCCCTCATCCCTTATTTCCCAACCCGTCTCCCGCAGGAGGGAAGTCAGCTCCGCAAGACGAAGTGGACGAGATCGAGGTGTATGGCAGCGAGGCCCAGTCCGGCACCCAGCTGACCACCTACTCTTTCGAGGTATGTCTGCCTCAGTTTCCCCAGCAAGGGAAGTGCCCCTGAAGTACCAACTAGACACCCCCAAAACCAGGCTGTCAACATCCAGCTCGAGAATCCAAATAAAACTCCCAGGTTGATTCCGTTTCTGAAAAGCTTACGTTTTATTGAATACACTGCGCGACCGTGTCGAAGCAAAACTAACTCCGAGGTTCCCACACTAATTCATAGACTTCAGTCAATCAGCATACAGCTGGAAGAGACCTCGGAGGTCTTCTAGTCCAACCCCCTGCTCAAGCAGAAGACCCTAGTTTTCCCAGCCGAACCCCCAACGTCTTACGTAATCCCTATCGACAAATCCACTTTGTTATGGGAACCGTCTGCTTCAAGTCGACACCTGTTCTGGTG